TAATTAATTGAAAGAATGAGAGCATTTGATTTTGTTCAAAAAAAAAAAAAAATAGAAGACATGATTTGTCTAGAAGAAATGTAGTTTTATTTTATTAAAAAAAATTATACTCAAACGACTTAAGAAATTATTTTGTAAAGAATTTTAAAAATCATGAAATGAAATAACCCTATCATATGTTAAGTAAAAAGAGTTTTCAAATTATTATTATTAATAATAAGTTATAGTAAGAGTATTTGAGTAAAGAGAGTATTTTAATTAATTCTACACTTTGGAGGGCCAAAAGTATTTATTTTTTAAAATCTAAAATTTTTGGTAACAAATAAAAATCATTTTTAAATAATTAAATTGATTTTAAATAGAGCAACACTTGAAAATGATTCTTAAATCTACAGCTAACCTGGATGCGGTGAGGTTCGAGGAGCCGACCTGGGAGGTCGGCACGGTAGTTTGGCGAATAAGGCGGCCACATCACTTCGTCCCTTAGAGCGAGGGTCGAACTGGTCACTATCAAGGACCAGTGGTTATTCAACAGGCCCCTCTCCGAACACCAGATTACACCGATGGGACATATATCAATCCAACTACCGCTATAAATACACCGTTCGCCCACGATTCCAGGTATGAAAAATATGTTTGATGCTTACCTACCAAGCTCGACTTGAATACTAACTTGGGCGTCAGAGTGGTTGCCTCCTTGCAGGTACCCCAGAAAACCGTCCAAGTGCTCTCGGCCGACCTACGAGGTCGCCTTCCATACCCTGACCAAGTTTTTGCATCAACATTAAAAAATGATCGTGAATCAATCACTTTAGACTAATTTTATAATAATGTTTTCTAAAAAGAAAAACTTTATAATAATTTGACATTAATAGAATTGTCCTTTAAGATAATGAGTCAGGGCATTGAAACTTCATATATCAGTTGAGGTCTTGAGTTTAAGTCCTACGCTGATCACCAAGTCATGAGATTCTATCTCAAAATCAATTGACTATGAGAGGAGTAGTCTATGTCTATTATAAACCATTGTTAGGTCCCTTTTCTTTTCAATGTGGGATCCTTAACAACGACGACTCGGGAGTAGATTTCCCACTGACAGAGGGACAGTAGGCAACAAAGTTGCTTTGTATACTCCTTATACTAATCTTTCTATAATCATATGTTAAACCTACAAACAAACACAAGTTACACAAATACTCTAAATTTTAAATAGCACAAACATACAGATTATATGAACTCATACTTTTCGCCTTTTAAAATCATGAGCTAATTAAACAAGTCCTTCAGAATTTAATGATATTAATGAATATTTATCATCATTTACTTTGTAATAACGAAGACTCATTAAATCTTAGGCAATCACGACTTGATTTTGTAATTTTTTTTCAAATCGATGAAGGAAAATGACAAATCAAATTTTAAAATAATTGTTTGGAAACTTGATCTTTTAGGATACAATACAAGTTTAGTCTTGATTGGATGTGCGATCAAAGCCTCGTGGATGGTCCTTTTGATCGAAGTGAGAATTTGGGAATGCAGTCAAAGTTCTGCTAGGAAATGAAAAGATCTTGGGTATATAAGTTGGAGACACTATCTCTATATATAATGAGACATTTTGAGTGATACCAAAAGCAAAACCGTAAGGATTATATCCAAAGTGGGCAGTATAACTCTAAAAATCTCTGGTTCAACTATTCAACACGCAATTATGCTTTGGTGAAGATGAGCAGTGGCGCACGGATAAAGGTGATGTGCGGTGTCTTTAAGGGGAAGCTCAGTGGTATTTTGTTTGAGGAGAGGATTGTTATATGTGCCACCAAAGTCCCACCAAATGATTCTTTAATTGAAGTGAGGATTGTTTGTTGAAAATGCGATCAAGGTCTAATACACAAAATTCATGTTGGGTTTGTAAAGAAGTACAAACAAAGTCTCACATTGACTAGGGAATAGGACAATGTATATAAGATAGGACAATTATCTCCATTGGTATGAGGCTTTTGAGATAAATCAAAAGTAAAACCGTGAGGGGTATGCCCAAAACGAACAGTATCATACCATTGTGAAAATACCTAGGTAACGTTGTACTCAACAACTCAGTGGAAATACGCAATAACTCGTTAATATTTATCCAAGTCTAATGGTGACCACAAGATTTTTTGCAACTTTGACCTTTTGCTTCAACTTTGATTGGTGAATATGTTCAATGTGTGCACTCTCTCTAAGCAACCATTTAAGAAAGTCACCTAACTACATATAGTTATATAGAGGGACCTATTGAATTCTACTCTAAAAGTAACACTCTTTTAAGGTCTCAAACTCTACCCTCCCTAGCTCTCTGACTTGTCATTCCCTCTATCAAACTTTTCGCACTAGAATCCACGACAAATAATTCAAGTATTCGAGTATCATTCAGTGAATAAGAGTGCACTTTTTGCAATCGTTAAACTCACAAGAGAAAACAAGTTCTTAGAATTTAAAAATTTTACATAAATTCTAACAATAACAAGAACCTTTAAAGTCGTGGTTACAATTCAAGAAATATATTGAATGTAGTGTCGTGTTGAAATTATGATAGAAAAATTAGATTGAAAAATGAAATTAAAAGACCAAAATGATTACTTTTTAAAATTGCAAGTGAAACATTTTTAAACTAAAGGTACCAAAATGAACTAAAATTAAAAATACAGATACTAAAATAAACATTTTAAAAGTAGAGAAACAAAAATGAACAAAAATTAAAAGTTAAAAGTAGACTGGACTAGTATTTTAACTAAAATTTTTTATCTATTATCTACACTTTTTTTTTCTGTGAGACATTTATATAAATAACATAAATAATAAGTATTTAATTTAAAATATAATAGAAATTAGTTTAAAATTTTACAAAAATAACATAATCCAAATCAAACTAAGTAATATAAAATTATAAAAAGTCGTACTTCTACCGTATTTGAAAAAAATATGAAAAGTTGTGACATTTTTTATATTAAATTTATTCTATATAGTGAAATTTCTCAATTTTTTAACTCTCACTTATTTCGTCATATTTACACATGTTCCCTCGTAATAAAACCTGTTCCTAAAAACAGACTGATTATAGAGGTCAATTTTATCAAAACTCTTACACCAAAATCAAATATATATTATATATATTGATGTATGGTATATAAAAGAGGGACTATAGAAATAGCACAAAAGAAATTTGTACTTTTACATATAATATTAAATTTAAATTTTTTACAAAAATGACATAAATTACAAATTTATACAACAACATGAAACCGGATAAAAACCACCTTGATGATATTTTAATAAATATATATTTATTTCGTACAATTAACTTATTACTTTCCCTATATAAAATAAAAAAAATTAAAGACAAACTTTTTCTCTATTTTTGTATTTTTCTCTTTTAAAATTCGTTTACTGTNTTTTAGTTTCTTTAAATTAAATATTTTTTAATTTTTTGAGAAAATAATGTTCTGCTACATGGTAGAAATTTATCTTTTTTTATTTTTCCCTTTATTTTTTCTATTGTTCCTATTTAATCCTTTATTTTTCTAAAATCAACAAATTATCTTTTTTAGACTAAAAAAGTATTATTTTAATTGATATAACTCTCCTTTTATTCTTCTAACTTTTCAATCTTCTTATTCATTACACAGGGGTCCTTCTTCCCCTAAATCTTTTCATTATATCTATAAATAATCCATAATAAATCACAAATCTATATCGACTAATTGTTCTCGTGTAGCATCTTCATGCTTTTGTAGAAATTTCTCGATTTCAAAATGTATCAAATCCATAATAGAAAATGCATGTCCCAACCTTCTCCCCATCCCCGATTCCATTTTTTAAATAATTAATATATATTTATTACATTTTTTTTATATTTGAATTCTAAAAATAATTAAAAACAATTATAAAATCGCTAATTTTTCTCGAGAACATCTCTCGAACCCAAGAACGAGGTGGAGACGGAGATTAAAAATTTTGACGAGCCTGAGAATGAGGAAGAACATCCTCACTCACACCCACACCATTGTTTACTCTACCCTACATAAAATTTTCTCTCTCTAGTAATATTTTCAATTTTCTAACTTTCTAAAAATAAAAAACTAAAAATGGTTATCAAACATGTTTTGGTTTTTGTTTAAAAAAAATTAAAAAATAATTATCAAACGTATATGGTTTTTGTTTTTTAAAAATAGAAAACTAAAAATTAAAAATTAAAAATAAGAAAAACCAAAAATCAAGAACTAAAATGGTTATCAAAGGGAGGAGGGAGGAGTCTTGGAATGATAATAGCCTTATAACATATCAATGAACCTTTTCTCTTTTTTTTTTTCCTTTCTGAGAGAATCAAAGAAGGAAATCGTTCCATTTGATAAAATCAATTAATTATCCTCTTTCCTACTCAACTTTGGAATTTCTTCGTAATAACTTATTTTGTATTCTCAGAAAATGTTAGCCACTTGTCACATCAGATCCAATATGTCAATAAAATCAAGGGAAGTTTTGTTTTTGGTTTATAATTTATCTCCAGTTCTTCCTTAAAAGTTAAAACTCAATTCTCAAATTGAAGTTTTCTAAATGTGTTTATTTGGATTGGATGTTTATGGAATATCTTTTAAAATATACTCAATTTTCTAAGAAATATTGCTAGAATATTAACACGCCTCGAGACAAAGCACTATTGTAAGAATGTAGGTACATGTATATCTATTATCTTTTCCATCGTCTTTTCATTCCTTAACTGATGTGAACACTTCTTACAAACTCGACATAATTCGTGAGATGTGTTTGCGTTAATAATTTCGAATAAGTAAAAACTTTATATGTTAAGTTAGGCCAAAAATGAATTTTGGTTGAATCAACCCATTCAAACTCATTATTATTTTTTAAATAATTTTATTTTACTTACCATAGAAGAATATATTTATTTTAATCTTATTTGCATTATTTTTTGCACAACTTTTAAAAGTACTTTTTTAAATCTTTTTTAGTGTAATTTTTCACAAAATATTGACATATAAATCGTGATTCACGGCTAGAAAATATGTGAGTAAATGTTTAAGTCAACGAGTAAATGTTTAAGTCAACGCTAACATTGTTGAGTAGTAATATACCTCCAATCAAGAGACTGTGCCTCCCCAACATGTTGTAAAAAAAAAGTAAATATTTAATATATTAGTATTTATTTTTTATTATATAATATTTTGAAGGAATAGCCTTGAAAAATCCGAATCTGACCCAACCTATAAATACCGTAGATGGTAATGCGTACATTCCAACTTAACTATATTTATCTAAGATTTAATAATAACCAAGATGGATCAAGCCTCGTATTCAGATTTTTTTGCAACTACTTTTCGAAATTAAAGTTAATTTTTATATGTCTAAGTGTTATCTTGATCGCTGTATCTTTGCCTTTTGTTCCTTTGGTCTTTCTACTTTTAATTTTTGTTTATTTTAGTCCTATACTTTGAAAAATATATGTTTGGTCATACGACCATTTTAATTCATGTTTGAAAAATTTTAACACAAATTTTATTCACAAGGAAAACGCTTTAATATAAATTTATTGTTACATTTCAAGAAATTTCAGTGACTGGAGTCTTTAAATTATGACCAAAAGAAATTAGATAAAAACGAAAAATGAAAAAACCAACATGGTCACTTTTTAAAAATATAGGGATTAAAACATGTTGAGTTTGTAAATAGTGCAAACAAAGTCCCACGTCGGTTAGGAAAAGAGGTGGTCCATGGTATATAAGGGAGGACAATTATCTCCATTCGTATGAGGTCTTTTTGGTGGAACCAAAACCAAAACAGTGAGGGTTATGCCCAAAGCGGACAATATCATACCATTGATATGTCAACCACCTCTAAAACTATGGTTAGATTGGCGATCCAATATTTAATTTGTAGGCTCCCTTCATCAAAAACTTTTTCAAAAGATTCTAGACTATTCCTATTTCAAAGTCGGGCCATCCTCTTTATCCGCATTGGACTCAAGGACATCAGAAGGACATACATCTTGGTTGGTTTCACCAGGCGTATTACGGTTTTTCATCGAGGTGGTGGATCGAAGCGATTGTAGCGAAGAATTGATCTAAAATAAAGCACTTCATCTATGGGCATTGTAGGGAGAAGCAGGGCTCGAAGAACGAGCCGAGCCGTGCAAGAATGCAGGGATATGGCAAGTAAGCAGTAAGATTCTCTCTTGTTGACCGACTACAACAAGCTCGCGACTCTAATAGAAACAAACGGTAAGCTATACTTATCAAAGTTGGTGAACACTTCTGTAACCTTAAAAGAAAATAGTGCTCGATGAAACGATCCTGATTTCACACTATGTTGTGGACTAGGAAGTAAAGTGTTTTATAAATTTAAAAACAAGAATTTGAGATTCATTAACCTCTCTGGCATGCAATCTAAAAAAATATTCCAACAGTAATTACCACATATTTGAAAATATGAAGAAAAAAATTCTTGTTTAGAACTTCAAACTCAGATCAAGATTAGATAGATTTTTTAAGTTGTCAAATGATATTTCTGATTAAATATAATAGTTAAATTATAAAAACATCCTTAAACTTTAAAATTCTGTCTATTGTTTCGAAAGTTTCGATTTATATATATATTTTTTTGAAAGGGAGTTTCGATTATACTTGTTATCCTAAAGTTTAAGAATACGATGGAAATCACCTGTACTCTATTTTTACAATTTATTATTCGCGTTATATTTTCATTTTCTTTTTAACATAAAAGTTTACAAAATATTTTTTTTAAACAATTTTTTATCTTCCTGTTTTTCATGAAGCAAAAAAAAAAAAAAAAAAAATTGTTCATGTTCAGTCTAAATTGCAATATTTTTTAAGTTCAACGGAAGAGTGAATGATCCACTCTTCATGTACCAAGGGTCCAACACATAATTGAACAACGATCCAGAACAACAAAGAGATAATTATCTATTCTCATTTTTCCTTTCATTTTTAAATTCCTTTATTATAAAATAATGTTTAGCTATACATTTACTATTTTGTTTTTTCAGTATAATTTTATAATCATGTTTTCTGGGTTAAATATTTGTTTTAGTTTCTGTTGGAGTATTTTTTTTAAAATTTAATATTTATCTTCAATACAATTTCTTAAATATTTAGATATATTTCAATTTTCTCAATCATATCAACAAATGTTAAAATTTATTGATTACGAACCTACATAACATATACTTAACGAATCGATATAAATTAGGACGAAAAAACTCGATATCTATAATAATTTATTAATAATGTTTTGATTATATTTTTAAAAATTAAACTCCTTGTTACATCTACTTTTAAAAAATATTTCTAAAACCTAAGTCAAATTTTGAAATTTTAAAAAATAGTTCAAAATTTTATTTTTGTTTTTTAGACTTGACTTAAAAATCAAAATTTTGTTTTTAGAAAATGTGAAAACGTATTAAAAAATTGTGAACAAATCCAGTATAATTTTTAAAATTAAAAATTAGAAAAAAATAAACAATTATCCATTGAGACGTTAGAAATTTGAGAGATTTATATAAATTCACAAATTATTTTGTCGTGTAAATTTGATATCACGAATTTTAATATATTCACTATCAACGAATATCTAATTTTTATTTTTATTTTTATTTTTAACTTTTTACCTTTTACATGAAGGTGATTGGTAGCGATTAAGTGGCGAAATAGTAAGGATGACGCGTGCGTGGAGCCTTTGCTGCTTCGAATTGCCACACATCTTCCGAACTCGCCACGTCACATAAAAATTACCACGCTAACCAGAACCCCCGCTCTCTTGCCACGCGCGCTCCACGTGGCATTCTGAATTGGACACGTGTCCCCGAGGCGTTATTATCCCGAAGACTATTTAATACCCGCCGGTGATTTTTGTAAACGACGGAAAACTTTCAGGAAAAAGAAAAGAAAAAAAAAAGTGTGAAATAAAAAACAAAAATGCAGTCAGGAAGGAACGCAGCGGAGTCAGCGAAGGAATCGGCCGCCAACGTGGGAGCTGCTGCCAGGGCTGGCATGGACAAAACCAAAGCCACCGCCCAAGAGAAGGTCCTTTTTTGTTTTTTATTTTACATTTTAATTAGTAATTACTATTTTTTCTGTTTTTAAATTGTTTTCTTTATTTATTTTAAAAACTAAATTTATAAAATACTTACTTTTACGATAAGGGATATTGCAGTGGATGGCAAAAATTGAATTTCAATTATTTTACAAAATTGAATTTCAATTATTTTACATTTTAATTATTATTTTATCTGTTTTTAAATTTTCTTTATTTTTTATTTTAAAACTAAATTTATATTACTTTTACGGGTATGCAGTGGATGGAAAAAAAATTATATAATTTCAGAATATGTTATTTGTTTTTTGAAATTTTTAATAGAACATAATTAGAATTTTGATTTTTGGAATGTTCCATTATTCCAATTTTATTTTGTTTATTTTTTTGAAATATTGCGGGCAAAATTTTGTCACATTTATTGTACTTGTACCTATGTTAATAGTTTATTAGATACTCATATCACATATTTTTGATATATTAGACTAGGTAATATCATCAGCAACATTATATTATAGATATATTATAAATTTTTATCATTTTAAAGTTAGACCTGTTTTTTTAAAAAAATACTATATTTGAAAAAATTAATGGGCTGATATTTTACAAATTTTAGTGAAATATTTTTTTTTGGGTCATATTTGTAACATCTCCCTACTTTGATCTATTTTTAAATAATTCATCTCTCCCTACTTTTATCTATTTTTAAATTAATGGATGCTTTATAATTAGCTAAAAACAAACCTCGATGAATTAAAGTGAAATAAATTTGAAAGGATAACTGGATAAGAATGAAGATGGGATTATTCCTAAACAATATTTGTCTATATTTAATGGGCATTCAATGGTTGGGGCTAAAAGTGGAAATTAACGTCTAAAAGAGAAATATGATTAATTATTAATCACTATAAGCTTTTAAGCACGATATAGTAGTTCAAAATACGATCAATTATCAATTAGTATAACGTTTTAAACACTATATTTTCGTGGTAGTTTAAAATGTTCTTAACATTAATATAAAATTAGTATAAGTTTTTAAATTATAATTTTTAAAAACGTCTACAATATATATGTATATATAGTTTCTGAAAATTAAATTGAGGTTGGAAATTTTGAAATTTATGATAAATAACAATAGATCCAAACCGTGCATAGCTCAAATGGTTGAGGCACCTATCTCTGACTAAAAGGTTATGAGTTCGAACCCCAATGTTATACTAAAAAAACAATAGATCAAATTTATTTTCTATTTTTTGGAAATTAAATAGATTGAAATTATTATTAGAGTTGAGCTTGACAAAATAATTAAATAATTGACAGGTGGACAAAATGCGGGCCCACGACCCGGTGGAGAAAGACATGGCCGAGGCGAGGAAAGAAGAGAGAATCACCGAGGCAGAGATCAACAAGCAACAAGCGCGTGCAGCCCACGCTGCCGAGAGACAAGCCGGCACCGGCACACTTGCCGGATTAGCCACCGGAACCGGGACTGGGGTCGGACCGACCACCGGCACCGGAACTGGAGCTGGGACCCGCACCCTAGGTGGCACCCAACCTTGAAGCGCGTGGCTTGCACGTGTGGTGTGATGAGTGGGATGGAGAGTAGAATGTCTGGCTTTTTTTAATTTTAATAATTAATGTCGTTTTCGAGTAAGTAATTAAGAATATGGTTGGTGGAGAAGTGTACGGTTAAAAGTTATTGTATATTGTAATATAAATAATAGCCTATTAGATTGGATAAGTACATTTTATTTTTGCTGATGATTTTGGTATGTTTTAAAATATTATGCCCAGTAAAACTTACAAGTGAGTATTTCATATTTTTTCAAATAGATGCATAAATTTTATTGAATGGTAAAATAAATTTAATGCCCGACAATTAAAGAACAGATTTTATGGACTTCCATTTTTTCTTC